TCTGTTCATTCGCCATTCTTCCTTCTGAAGTTGATGAAGGAAACAGGATACACTTGCTTGACGCAAAGCTGTCGACTCTGCCTTTAAATTAAACACTATTGGCTGACGGCATGGGAATGTGAAACAGCGTTCCACCATTTATGTGATGTAAAAAGAACGCTAGAAATAACCCATTCTTTAAAGTGCGAGAAAGACCGATATTCCAGTGGTTATCAATTTTCTCTCCTTTCTCACTCTGCCACAGCCCCACAAGCAATATGGCCGTCAGGAAAACAACCACCAACGAGTCAAATGAATGCCAGTTATTGTCTTAGCCAGTTTTTTCATCTGATGGATTCAGTCTAAGTCCGTCATCGTGAATCTTTATGGCTTGCTGTTAAGGCTTTTACTGCGTAAACGCGGTTTTTTATTTTACTGTGGCAATCATTGGTTTATCGAATTAGTAACGGCTCGAATTCTTACGGCTGCTATAGGCAACAACAGCTGCCGAAAACCAACATCATACTCTGAAGATAAAAGAGGAGAAAAGTTTTTAACGCTGGAATGTCTGTCTTCCTACATTTAACATGATTGAATCATTCTTTTCATGAACTTGACGGTGGAGTGCTGATCTTCATTTCTATGACATAAGCAACGAGGCTTTTTTAAGGACAAAACCTACAGTAGGGACTACAGCTTATAGTTTTCTGTTTCCTTCTGACAGCGTTTTATTCGTTGATCAATCTTAGAAGGAAGAATAGCGAGTGTCATCGAATCCAGGCCTCTCTGTTCTGAGACTAATGCCTTATTGACTGAGCAACACCAGTCTTAAGCAACGTGCGGTAAATTCTTTGTTCAAGGGATTCGTGGTTGAGACAAAGATTTTCATCACTTTGTGAATGATTTCTTTTTTAATAAACTAGTAATTTAGAGAGTGTAATATAAGGTTGGTCAAATAGAGTCTTAAGCTCTACCAATGTCATGCCGTGAGTGCCTAGAAACAGAAAAAACATTCGAATCATTTGCTATTACAAGTACGTAGCTATCGGCTTCGTACTACAGCCCATAGGCAAACCATGGAACGTAGATATTAGAAGGCTTGACGATGCAGGACAGCCGATTGGGGAACAGACATATGTTTCCATCAACAGAGGCCAGCGTGGGTAGGCGCGATGAATCTGCTAATCACT